AAAACAAAAAAAAAAAAAAAAAAAAAAAAAAAAAATGAATCTTTCAAAGGTGGGTTTTTCGTTATCATTATGTCTCAAACCCAACTTGGCTCTTATTTGTCTCAATCCTCTTGTCCTCAACCCACTCCTTATAATCTTACATTTTTTTCATTTAAAAAAAAAAATTATTTATATCATGGAACGAAAGAGGATAAAACGTGTTTGGTGTCACAATCGTACTCGTTTAACAATAGGACGATGATTGTGTGATGCTTGTTCTAACCTAGCAAACAAGTTAGACATACAAAAGAACGAACTTTGCAGTCTTTCACGTTTAGAGAGAGTGTTTTTTTTTTTTTGTTTTTTTTATTAAAACATGATTGAGAAAATGAGTTGAAAACAATTTGAAAGAAAATATCGTAGATGTCAATTGCATGAAAAACATAGGGACAAAAGAGCTTACAACACTAAGTTGAAGAGTTTTGATGATTAATTGGTCTCTATTAAACCGTACATTTTGTGGCATTTTATGTTTGGTAGGGGTAGACATAATTTTGTCGAAATGTCACACACATAGAAATTATAATAATAAAATAATATTAACATGAACATGCAATCATAGATCTGATTACTTCACTCCTTCCTTCCCCTCGTCTCATAGAGAGTTTTCTTATCTCCCAATACACCATATGCAGAATTCTTAATAGGTGACGATGACCATTTCTGTAGATACTGAAGTCTGGTCCAAGTTTCATAAGGAATTTTAAGAGCCCACTTGAAGAACTAGCTTTGGGAAGGAAGTCTCGTCCGACAACTAGCCAACAGTTGTTGGACGGGACTTCCTTGCCTTCTGCCTACCCACCTTCTCTTATCTCACACTTCAGAACTCTAAATAAACTCTCGTAACTTAAATTACACCCTAGACAAATATGATTGGGACACTTTATTCCTAATTTTTTTTTTTTAAAAAAGGATGTGAGCGAGTCCAAAACATGCTAATAAAACTCGTAGGAGTTGGTTGAGTTGGGAAATTTTTTGACGTGGAAACTTAATGTCTACTTGAAGATACCAAATATCAACTGTTTTGGAGTCTTCCTCTTAAGGGAATAGAATCGGATGAGGCCTGCAAAAAGAATTTTAATTTAAATCCACACAACCGATAAACCAGTCAAACTCTTTTTAGTTTTATTAATTAATGAAACATTGTAAACAAAAGTTAATTATATAAGGCAAATGGAAGACCAAATTTTTTTTAATATAATTTTATAATGTGATAACCTAACGATTAATGTATAGTTTAGTCATGTTAATTATAACCTCAACGTATGTTTAAGGGACATCTTAAGTGAATTAGACAAAGATCATATATCTGTATTGGGTTTATGTCTAGATCGAGTTGGTCGAGACATGGTCTACTCGTAGGAGTATACCACTAAATAGAGAACAAGGATATGCCTTTAAGGTATGTACTCTCATATAGATCTTAGTTGACTTAGACATTGAAGTGTGAGCCTAAACAACACGCCAAATGAGTTCTCTATTTTATACGTAGTCTCGCCTCGTTTTTAATTTAACTTCGTGTAAATCTAGTTGAGCCGAAATTTTAGACCTATTTATATGATCGGCCAACTTAGACTAACCAATCGAAACCAAGTGTTTTGGATTGATTTTTTTTTTTTTTTTTTTTTTTTTAGATTTGAGTAGAGGTGAATTTTAAAAAAAAATTGAAAATTTAGGTCAATTTATGGGTTACATTTTCTTGATCCGATACCTAAAAATAGAGTTAAACACAACCCTTTTCTATTCTTAAGATTATTACGAAAATAAAAATATTTGACCATGACAACTAATGTTAGCAGTGAAGGGAACTTTGAATATTTGATATTTGAGATTTATAAAATTGTAGTTATTATATTAATAATAATAAAAAAAGAGAACAGTCTAATAACCTAACTCAACCATGATAAATTTTATTTGAGTTATTCGGATTACAACTCAACCAACTCGAAATTTCAAATTAAATTAAATTAATTAAAAAAAAAAAAAAAAAAAAAAAAAAAAAAAAAAAAAAAACTCTAAGTAGTGATGGTTGTGCTTAACANTAAATAATTTTTAATTGTTATTTTAGTTCACATATAAGAGCATAAATGTAATTGTCCACAGCCCAAATCTAAAATTGGTGTTTTGTGGGCTTTTGAATGCAAAGCCGGATATCTGTTACATGTCCAGGCTTGAGAAACGGAATGGGTGATCAGAGAAACGGCGGCTATGGTGGCGACAGCAGCAGCGGTGAGGAGGACGGCGACGCCCAATGGAGAGCCGCCATCGACTCTGTCACTACCACGTCTGTGTTTCTCTCGTCGTTAACTAATGGTCTTCCTGCTACTTCTACAACCACTGCTTCAAACTCGGACGATGACTCCGAGCTTAATCTCGGTCCTCAACCGCCCAAGCAATATCAAATCAAGGTCTCTGTAGCTTCATTTCTCCTCCATCTCTCCTACCAAGCATTAACCTTCTTTGCCTAGTTTTTCTCATTCTTTTCTTTGCCTTGGAATGTTTGCGACTCTTTTGAGTTGAAGCTGTTGGAACGAGAAATGATTGGGATATAATGTTATTTATATAATCAAAACTTTGTTCAAGCTAGAATAGAGTGTTCGTGTTTTGGTGATTCGTATGATTTTTATTCAAGATGCAAGAGATGTTGATTGATTAATTTGGTTTGGCCGTGAACTTCAGCAGATTGGTTGCTACTCTGAATCTGAAGCCAATATATTCTCGGTGACTGACTATTTTTATTAGGGGGAATTAGCACAATTGAGATTACGGCTTATCAAGTGATACAATTATATACCTCTTTATCATTCGTAATCATTCAAATGCAGTTGCTAGAAACATTAGACACTGTTAACTGTATGCCTGTAATTAGACATGTTGAATCCACTTGGATGGATGTGCATCAAGATGCTTCGTTAACTGCAGAAACGCTGCACTTCTAATTGTAAACGTGTTTACTGTGCGATTGTCTTTTTGGTGTAAAAATGCATGTAACCTATTTTCTTGCCTCCTCCACTTCTTCCCGCATACAAATGCTATCTGCATTGTCATTTCTTACAATAACTGATTGATTTCTTGCAGGCACAGAAGATGTTGGAGAATATTTTGGAAACTACGCTGGAGGTGGTAGAACATTCCACAGCTATTCCTTGTGATGATTCCAAAACCAGTGAAGGTGGAATTCGTTTGTTTAAAAATGCTCCCGTTGGAGTTGTGTTTGATCACATCGGTAAGTAGTTTAACTGTATTTTCTTATCTGAAGAAGTTAGAAGGCAGAAAAGGTGATACTTGATGCTCGTATATAGCACCCCTAATCTTGGATGTCTTTAACTAATATGAAACTAGTATTTATCATAGTGGTCTATTTCTTTGAGCAAGAATTGTTTACCTGTGTGAATGTTTCTTGACAACTCCCTTTAATGATTAGTTAATAAATGTTGAGAATAGATAACATAGAAAATCAATAATATTTTGTGGAGTAGAAGCTTCTTATTAGTCATTACTCATTAGTGAAATTGAATATGAGGAAGGGAGTTGT